AACCCTGAAACAACCTCTGGGCTGATCTAAGTCAGGGCATGGCTAACTCACAGATCAAACCCTGAAACAACCTCTGGGCTGATAAAGGTCAGGGCACGGCTATCAGTCTCACACTTGTCTTAACCTCTGTCATGACTTAGATAATGCATTGAGCCAAGGCAAGTCTGTAGATAGATTTATCATTGTATTATATTTATACATTTCTCGTTATTTATTATTTTTAGGTTTATCACAACTTCCACGATGAGGTATGAAAGTAATTTATGTGGTCTTAAATGGGAAAATGTTATGTCTAGGTGGAGGTGGATGGAGTCCATTATTTTTCTCTCTTGCTTTGAGGGTTTTCTCCAGGTTATATGGTATTTTCCCCCTCTAAAGGGAAAAAGGTTATGACCTCATGCTATTCTGCATTCAGGCATGGTATAAAGTTGCCTTTTTTWWAAAAAAAAAAAGTGAACGATGATAATATATTTGCTCTTCTTCTCCACTAAGGTTAATTCATATCGACTTCATTGGTGGAAATGTAATGGACCCTGTCAGAAATGGCCACCCTTTTATGGGGTTGTAAAAAGATCAATGAATCGAGCACCTGCACCAAGGGACACTTGGTGGGATGATCACAAGAGAAAATGTGGAGGACAATTCACTAAAATCAAGGAACCTGACAACTATGACAAGAAAAAATCTAGTAATAAAATTAAGAATTCTGAAGCTGGATCTTCGAAGGAAAAGGAAAAGATATTAGGGTCAGGAACGCCAAGTTTACCAACATTTTTTGACAAAATGAAAAAGAAAAAGGTCACTAGTGGCAATGTATCAAGTCAAGAAGAAACTGATTTGAAAGAGAGTAGTAAATTACGTAATGATAAGTTTGAAGRATATATTGCTGAAAATCCTACAAAGAAGCAAAAAACAGAAGGCATTTCACCATTCAGTGGCATTGGTCATGTCTTAGGAGGTTCAACATCTGAGAAAACACGTAAACTTCAAGGAAAACAAGGTTTAGTTGGAATGAATTCTTCAGAACACAATATTGAGAAACAAAAGCCATATTCCAGTTCACAAGAGACTTCAGTTACTAAAGGGAAAAATAATAAAACAAAAAATAGAAAGAAACCTACAGACATTAGTGATAAACCAGAATTAACAATCATTGATGCTTTTAGAAGAAGCAACAAATCATTATGTAGTAATACAATAGATTCTTCAGAAGGATCTAAGGGCAAGCCTATTAGTTTGGGTGATGAAGATTCTCCTAGTGTAGTACCATCACCATCATCATCATCCCATGAGGTTTCTTGTCCTGTGTGTCTGTTAGTGATACCAATAACAAACATTAATACTCACTTAGATAACTGTCTGACAGCCATGTGATTGATTTTATTCACATTATTCAATTATTGTAAAGTATAAAGTTAGTTTTTACAGATTTCTAGTTTACTGTTGTATAATAATCCAATGAAACATCCCACAATGCCTGGTCCAATCAAGGAGTAGAAGAAGAGTGTCTATATCCAGGCTATATATATATACACTCAATTGAAGAATCGTTGTCGGGCTCAGAAACATAGAACATAGAAGCTGAGACCGAAATTGCACATGGGGAGTAGGTCAATTAGATGCATGCTGTGACCGGCGACCCGTGGCATCATCCACTGTTTTTAATATGCGTTTGGCATTCTAAAACGACTGCATGGATGGTGTAAATGAATAAATTATAATATAATTATGTCATTTCCCATGTGCCATTTTGGTCTCAGCTTTTATGTTCTATGTTTCTGAACCCGACAATGATTCTTCTATTGAGTGTCTACCATAAAAGTTGTTCATTGTAGCTATTCTGGATAATAACTAAGAAAATTAAAGTAAGTTTTTGAAGAATCTTCTAATATTGGTATAAGAGAGGCTTCCCATGGATTCCAGCAATTAAGTTCTCCATTACTGTTTTTATCATTTTTATCCTTGTTGTCTCAGTAAATGTGCCAATGTGAGGGGTAATGATTACATTTGGTAGTGTTAGTAATGGATGATCTCTTGGCAGAGGTTCAGGTGATGTCACATCTAATGCTGCACCTCGTATTTGTCCTGTTTGTAATGCTTTAACCAAGTCATCCTGATTAACCACGTCACCCCTAGAAATGTTGATTAGGGTTGCAGATGGTTTCATGATTGACAGCTCTGATGCACTGATTAAATACTTAGTTTCTGATGTTAGAGGAACACAGAGAACCACAAAGTCAGCTTGCTTAAGAAGATCATGGAGTTGATTGCAATACTCTGCACCTGAAATATCATAAATCATTTTAAATCACAAGTTACAAAGAAACCATATATTTAAATAGTGAAGTGTGTTCAAAAATAATTATCAGAAGAACTATGCAACAGGTATGGCAAAGTTTAATTTTGCAGCCATATCAGGAAGTTTAGTCCTTTACACACTCATTTCAACCCACTCAGGCTTCAACCCTACAACTACCTTTATTCAACCAAAGCACTCAATTCCTCAAACTTTACCTGTCTCTTTCTCCACATCTTCTTTTATTGTCCGTGTGTGGTAAAGTATCTTCATATCAAACCCTTTAGCACGTTTAGCAACTGTAGATCCAATGCTGCCAAAGCCAACAATGCCAATGGTAGAACCACTAACTTTTACTCCAGGCCAAGAACAATCAAGCTAAATGAGGACATAGTTAATAGACATATTAACATATTAACTGTGATTATTGGTGAAAAACAAGTGAAGTGTACAGCTAGCTTCTATGTTCACAGGGAAAAAAATGGATTCCCAAATTGGGAATTGTTGGGAACTTCCTTGAATTCCCAATTCGAACACCAACATTGGGATTTATTGTTGGGAATTTCCTTCTAATACCCAATAGAAAAACAAAATTCTCAACAAACTAACATTGGGAATCAGTGCCACGTTCCCAATTTCGTTCTCTCTGGGAATTGGACGGGAATTCGTTGGGAATTCAAGGAAATTCCCAATTTATTTGGGAATCCAGTTTTTTYCCCTGTGATTTTACTGACATTTTCTCTCCTGGATATATCCCAGTTAAACCCTGAAATGCAAAGGAATGTGCTCCGAATAAAAGAGCTCTGAATTCTAAGTACTTACCTTTAACAAGAAATTAGAATGCTTGCTTGTCATGTCACCCTTTACAACATCTCTCGCAGATGCAAGCAACAATGCAAAGGCAAGATCAGCAGTACAATCACCTATGACTTTGGGTGTAAAGCCTATCTTTATTCCCCTCTTTCTTGCTTCTGTAACATCAATATGGTCAACACCTACACCAATTGATGAAATGATGAGAAGGTTTGGAAACAAGTCCATAAAAGAACCATTGATATCCATTTGCCCGTTTCTTCCAACTAGTGCAAGACCTTGTATCTTTGAGTATTGATCCTCAGTTATATGTAAATCAGTTACATCTTTTATGAAAACYATGCTCAATTTATTACTATAACTGTTTACGATTTCTTGAAAAACATATTTGAGGGTTCCTGGTTGTAAAATTAAAGCCAGGGGTAGATCACTCGTAGCCATTGTAGGAATCGAGGTGTTAACATGAAGTCTTTATTCTGGAAAACAATATCAAAATAATATTTTTAAACAATGAGGAAATAATAGATATCTCTGGGATGTAAAGTGGAGCTCCATACCATACCCCAGTACTGCAGCACATCAAGCTACATCGATCAGTGATTGGAATTAAAACTACCCTGATCCCCGGTGATTGCATGTGTTCCAGAATATAATATCAGAATTTTTCTATTGCACGTTACGTCATCGCGGCCATATTGGTGCCATTTAACAAAAGATTTCTCATTAGTATCCATTGTTAACGGCTCCACAATGGCCGCCATGTTTTTGTCTTTTGACTCTCTTGGGAATGCTTGCAACCCATCAATACATATAGTAAAATAATAATTTCCAAAAGCGTGTGCATTGATCATCTTGCACTGATGCTCGTTTTATTTGCAGTACCTACTACTTTCCTGTTACAAGTTTTCCAACTATATTTAGGCGAAGTGACACGTCTATTAATATATATGGGGCTAAATGTAATTTAGGCAAAGTTAAAACCACAACTACGCCTGCTAGCCTAAGCAACGTTGGCCAGCGGACCATCCATGCTACGCATGCGCCCACGCTCCGGGTGGCGTGTTCACTAGCTGGCTTGTAGCTTGTATGCCATCTTTGCATCCTTGCCATCGTACAATTTGCATTTCTTTGTCGCTTGCTTTTATCGCTTTTGGACTACCCAGTTAATAGCAATGGCCGATCCACCGTTTCCACAGTCTTCTCCAATTTCTGCCGAATTGCTAGAGGTTATTCAAGCCGCCGTTGTGTCAGCTATAGCAAACMGAGAACAAYCAACCTCGTTCGCCCCAGCGAACACAACAACGACTTCGAGCTACTCAATGGGCATTTGTCGTTGGTCTGGGTCACTCGCCAGTACCACCGAAGCTCGTTACCCAGACTGTCACTGGGCGGTTTATCGATCTGAGCGACTTGTCTGCTCGCTAACCTCACTCCAGCAACTGAGGACGAACCACAACAGATGTTGGACGGCCGGCTGGTGTTATCATCCAAGACGAAGAAAAACAAACGCCTCATAGAAGATATCCTTAGCTGGATGGAGGCCTTTTCTATCTACATGCTTGTGCTGACCCACACTGTATTTCCCCAATAGATGGGCTGATCTCACAAGATATAAGTTGTTGATCCTCCGCACTCATCGCCTGTTCGGCGAACGCTGTTGGCTCCCCCACTCGATAAGCCTTTCGAGAAACACAACTGACCAAACCAGTCTGCATCTCGTGGAACAAGGGTAGATATGTGTCGCCTTTAATACACTCCTTGCCGGTACTTGCAGAAATGTAGAAATAAAAAAAAAAAATTATTGTAAGCCCTTATGTCATCTCTTATTTTGCTTATTGCTTCGACACTTTTGGTCGAATTATTATCGCATTTATCACTAATTA